GTGTTGCATGACCGCACAATTGTCTATGTTAAGTGCAACAGCACTGAAAGCTGAAAATTGTCCTGGGCAGGAAGGGGGTAGAAGTGCCCGGTAGGCAAGTGATTAATTCCAGTGTTGGCACTTTGAAAATAAAAAAGTTAGTTTTGTGTTGCAGTTTGGGCACTCGGGCTCAAAAAGGTTCGCCATCACTGCTATATAGATAATCATGAAAAAGAACCAAATAAATGAAACTAAAAATTGATTATTTGAATAAACTTTCCCCAATTATTCCAGTTTTGGCTAAAGGTCGCAGCTATATTTTGAGATTTATCCCAAAGAATAAATATTGGAAATCGCTAGCATCCTTTTTTTAATAGATCTGGGGAATTCCCAGGGTCATAATAGAATAATATTTCAGAATTAAAAATAATAATTATAATATTTATTTTAGTGAACACAATAATTGTGTTAATATACAAATCGTTGTTTCCAGAGAAGTCTGTAGATTATTATATTCATTGCATTATGTAATTTTTTCCCCAACACTTGTTAATAAGCACTTGAGCTCTGGAAGGTTTTACCGCCTTCATGACCAGGTCATTTTTGCTATTCGGCCCTGTGCTACTTTAACTGGTAATTGCTCGTTCATGCAGCACTGTACAAATTAAATTTATAATATTTTTTAACACAAATAGAGCTTTATTTTGGTCGTATTTGATCACCACCAAGTTTTCTATTTTTTATTATATAAATTAAAATAGACCAAAAATTTAAAAAAAAAAAAAAAACAACTATATTTTCTGCTTTCTACTATAAAACATATCCAATAAAAAATAAATAAAATAAATAAATAAATAAATAAAATTTCTCCACTAATTTAGGCCAAACTGTATTCCACTACATGTCCAAACTGGTTTGTGTGTAAGGCATAGCGTCATCAAACTATGGTATATATACTGGAATATTTATTTATTTATTTGTTTGTGTGTTAGTTAAATAATTAATTAATTAGTTAATTCATTTTATGCTAGTAATGGCGGTGATCAGCGACTTATAGTGGGACTGTGATAGTGCGGCGGGCAATCTGACACTAACTGACACTTTGTGGAAGCTAACTAACTGACACCAGTGACACTAATACAGTAATCGGTGCTAATAATATACGCCTTCACTGTGCTTATGACACTGGATGAGAAGGGGTTAACAGCTTGGGGTAACCAGGGGGTTAACTGTGTGCCAAAGGAGTGTAATATGTGCTGCTTTTCACTACAGGTTGACTTGTTTCTTTTCTCTGCTGTGCAGGGAGAAGAAACAGAGAGACTGTTCCCTCTGTTCATGTCCCTGTGTTGTTTGTCAACACAGAGCTCTGGGCTGTGATTCGATACAGCCGATCAGCGGGTCCTGGCCATGAATCATTGGCCAGGATCTGCTGACAAACTTTCGCTGTGTCGAATCACAGGGGAGTAGGCTGGCGGAGCCCGTGCGCTCAACCCGCAAGCCGCTTCCGATGTATAGATCCGTTATTGTTTCTGTACAGGCCGCCCTGCTGCAGTAAATGTACAATAAAACTATGAATAGAATCGGCCGGGGTCCGCTCTCCTTTTTCAGCAAAGTACTGGAGCAAGGAAATGTACTGATTTGTAAAGTTGAGCTTGAGTTCGGTCCGAATTCAGAAGTTAGCTGTGATTGCTGAGCCAATAGGCTGCAGCGCAGAGAGATTTCCTGCCCTGCAGCCAATGTATACAAAGGAATGTGGGAGGCTCATGACATCATTGGCCCAAGATGGCCACAGCAAAGACTTTGAACTAATATTGGCCATGTGCCCATATTGGGTCAATGATGTCACAAGCAACTCCCCCCCCTTTGTGCACTCAGGAGGTTGGCCGCTTGACACCAGTGCCATTCAGAGAATAATTTGCAAAGCATTTTCAGATTGGAAGAGGTGGGGCGGTAATGTCATACTCTTCACCTCGTCCAATCAGAGAACGCTTTGCATTCTTTGAGAAATTGCAGAGCATTCTCTGAATGGCACCCATGCTGAACGGCTGGCTTTCTGTATTCCCAACCAGGGGCGGACTGACAACTCATGGGGCCCCCGGGCAATAGGGGATCATGGGGCCCCTGTGTCCTTGCCCAAACTCAAAAAAGCCTATGAAAAAAGGTACCAGGGGCATCTCATGAGGCCCCCTACTGACCCCGGGCCCTCGGGCAGTGCTCGAGTTTCCAAATGGTCAGTCCGCCCCTGTTCCCAACGCAGCAGGGCAGCTGTTCAGCACAGGAGCTGGAAGCTAGTAGAGATCACCGGAGTAGCGGTGTAGTAGTGGCATCTCAAGGGATCTCACAGGTATGGTATATACACAATTACATTAGTCCAAGCTGCAACAATGTAACTATGTAAAACAAAAATCCATACCTAGGCAGCCATTATGCCATTCAGGGACATTTACAGATGAAACTATGATTAATCCTTTTCCCCCTAGTGCCCATTTTGTGTGTATAATTTGTTAAATGATGCTAATTGATTATTTCTGTTTTACCAGTGTTCTGTTTTTATGCATTAACTAGGGTTGTATATCCTAAACCCATTATTTCTGTGGTCTGCTCTTTTGAACAAGTCTAATATAGAGGTGTTACTAAATATACCAGGGGTCTCCAAACTGCAGCACAAGGGCCGGATGAGGCCCTTTACTAGCCTTTATCTGGCCCTTGGGGCACTATTCCTCCCACTGACACCAACGATGGGGGCACTATTCCTCCCACTGATACAAATGATGGGGCACTATTCCTCCCACTGATACCAATGATGGGGCACTATTCCTCCCACTGATACCAATGATGGGACACTATTCCTCCCACTGACACCAATGATGGGACACTATTCCTCCCACTGACACCAATGATGGGGCACTATTCCTCCCACTGATACCAACAATGGGGCACTATTACTCCTACTGATACAAATGATGGGGCACTATTCCTCCCACTGATACAAATGATGGGGCACTATTCCTCCCACTGACACCAATGATGGGGCACTATTCCTCCCACTGACACCAATGATGGGGCACTATTCCTCCCATTGATACCAATGATGGGGCATTATTCCTCCCACTGACACCAATGATGGGGCATTATTCCTCCCACTGATACCAATGATGGGGACACTATTCCTCTCACTGATACCAATGATGGGGCACTATTCCTCCCACTGACACCAATGATGGGGCATTATTCCTCCCACTGATACCAATGATGGGACATTATTCCTCCCACTGATACCAATGATGGGGCACTATTCCTCCCACTGACACCAATGATGGGGCACTATTCCTCCCACTGACACTAATGATGGGGCACTATTCCTCCCACTGATACCAATGATGGAGCACTATTCCTCCCACTGACACCAATGATGGAGCACTATTCCTCCCACTGACACCAATGATGGGGGACTATTCCTCCTACTGATACCAATGATGGGGCACTATTCCTCCTACTGACACCAATGATGGGGGCATTATTCCTCCTACTGACACCAATGATGGGGCTCTATTTCTCCCACTGACACCAGTGACGGGGCACTATTCCTCCCACTGACACCAATGATGGGGCTCTATTTCTCCCACTGACACCAATGATGGGTACTATTCCTCCCACTGACACCAATGATGGGGCACTATTCCTCCCACTGACACCAATGATGGGACACTATTCCTCCCACTGACACCAATGATGGGGCACTATTCCTCCCACTGATACCAACAATGGGGCACTATTACTCCTACTGATACAAATGATGGGGCACTATTCCTCCCACTGATACAAATGATGGGGCACTATTCTCCCACTGACACCAATGATGGGGCACTATTCCTCCCACTGACACCAATGATGGGGCACTATTCCTCCCATTGATACCAATGATGGGGCATTATTCCTCCCACTGACACCAATGATGGGGCATTATTCCTCCCACTGATACCAATGATGGGACACTATTCCTCTCACTGATACCAATGATGGGGGCACTATTCCTCCCACTGACACCAATGATGGGGCATTATTCCTCCCACTGATACCAATGATGGGACATTATTCCTCCCACTGATACCAATGATGGGGCACTATTCCTCCCACTGACACCAATGATGGGGCACTATTCCTCCCACTGACACTAATGATGGGGCACTATTCCTCCCACTGATACCAATGATGGAGCACTATTCCTCCCACTGACACCAATGATGGGGCACTATTCCTCCCACTGACACCAATGATGGGGCACTATTCCTCCCACTGACACTAATGATGGGGCACTATTCCTCCCACTGATACCAATGATGGGGCACTATTCCTCCCACTGACACTAATGATGGGGCACTATTCCTCCCACTGATACCAATGATGGGGCACTATTCCTCCCACTGACACCAACGATGTGGCACTGTTCCTCCCACTGATACAAATGATGGGGAACTATTCCTCCCACTGACACCAGTGGGGCACTATTCCTCAACCCTGAGGCCATGTTTATTTTCACTGATGCTGGGCCCAAGACATTTTTACCCCCACTGGCCACAATAACACAACCCGGCCCTCCTAAAAGTCTAAAGGACAGTGAACTGGCCCCTTTTTTTTGAAAAGTTTGGCGACCCCTGTTCTATACTGTTGAAATATGTCTGAACCTAGATTATCAGATGTGTCAGGAGGCTTGCAAGGCCAGGGTAACCACAGGGGACAAGCATTATCAAGTGGCCCCAACTTCAAAAACTCGCCATGCCTCTTATGAAGTACGTCGGACTGTCTACTCTGCAAAAAGGGGTCATTTGGGGGATATCTGTACTGTCCTGACATTTGGGGGATATCTGTACTGTCCTGACATTTGGGGGGATATCTGTACTGTCCTGACATTTGGGGGATATCTGTACTGTCCTGACATTTGGGGGATAACCTGTACTGTTCTGACATTTGGGGGATATCTGTACTGTTCTGACATTTGGGGGATATCTGTACTGTCCTGACATTTGGGGGATATCTGTCCTGTCCTGACATTTGGGGGATATCTGTACTGTCCTGACATTTGGGGGGATATCTGTACTGTCCTGACATTTGGGGGATATCTGTACTGTCCTGACATTTGGGGGATACCTGTACTGTTCTGACATTTGGGGGATATCTGTACTGTTCTGACATTTGGGGATATCTGTACTGTCCTGACATTTGGGGGATATCTGTACTGTTCTGACATTCTTGGACCTCAAGAAATTAGATGGCCGTCAGTACTTCAGGATTGATCAATATTCAGATCTATACCATAGTTTGTGAACTCTATAACTTTCCTACAAACTAAAAAAATACATCCTAATTTGGGTTATTTTCACCAAAGACATGTAGCAGAATACATCTCGGCCTAAATTTATGAAGAACAATTATTTATTTGCAAACCTTTATAACAGAAACAAAGAAAAACGTGTTTTTTTTTCCAAATTGTTGGTCTTTTTTATGTTAATTTAGCAAAAAAATAAAAACCCCAGCGGTGATTAAATACCACCAAAAGAAAAACTCTAGTTGTGTGAAGAAAATGATAACATTTTAGTTTGGGTACAATGTTGTATGACTGCGCAATTGTCATTCAAAGTGTGAGAGCGCTGAAACCTGAAAAATGGCCTGGGCAGGAAGGGGGTAAAAGTGCCCGGTATGGAAGCGGTTATCATGGAGACCTGAAGTGTATTACTGGGCAGATCATAGGTGAAAATAAAGGGTTAAAAAGAAAACTAATGCAGCCACCACATCTAAGGTTCAGTAAGTTGCAATATTTACGTACTTTTTTTGTGGTTTGGGTTTAATAATGCTTTAAATGCAGATCCCTATTTTTTTTATACTCTCTTTGTACTCTCATGTCTTAAAATCTAATGTTTTCTGTTAGGATCTCTTTATCTTCCATCTTAACATAATAAAAATCCCAGTGATTAATGAACACAAAACACGGAGATGATCACATGACCTACAAAAAAAAAGCCAGCAAACCGTTTTCCAGCTTTTCATAAAACCTGCATCTCATTTCATGATGAAAAGCAGCTGAGGGCCATGGAAAATGTGGCTTGCCATGTATCGCAGCTCACCAAGGCCGAATCAGCATTTTTTTTTTTTTATTATTTAAATGTTATCTCAACCACATGTGTAGAAGATATCTGTCAGAGCCAAAACATGAACACGCTGGTTACATGCATAATAAGCCCAGGCTGAAAACAACGCAGAGTCCTCGCCTTAAAGCAGAACTCTGCCTTCCAACCACAACCTGCAACACATACTTCATAGGGAAAGGCTAGGATCTTTGTTGGGTTATTATACCTGTGTGCATGCCTGTCCCTGTGACAACCGCTCCTATTATTTCCTTTCCTGTTGTCTCTGGGACAGGAAGTGAGATGTAATCTCCCCAGTAGGGTCACAGACTTCAATAAAACTAGAACAAAGCATTGACACTCCACAATTCTACTCAAAACTGAAAAAAAGAGCTGGCCTTAAAGAACCACAATATTTAGAATGAAAATAAAATTGAGGATTGAGGATTATAGATAGATATATAGATAGATAGATAGATAGATAGATAGATAGATAGATAGATAAAATCATATAAAATTGAAAGATTCTATAGCATAAGATATATAGATAGATACATTGATAGATAAATAGATAGATAGACAGAACAAGTATGTAATATATGATATTTGAGAATTAGATAGGTAGATAGATAGATGATAGATAATAGATAGATAGATAGATAGATAGATAGATAGATAGATAGATAGATATGTAATATATTATATTTCCAAGGATCAGGGCCCTCCTATCCCTCTTGTATTGAACTGTATTGTTGCTGTTTTGTCTCCCGTTATATTGTAAAGCGCTGAGCAAACTGTTGACGCGATATAAATCCTGTATAATAATAATATAATAAATCCTGTATAAATAATATATAAATCCTGTATAATAATAATAATAATATAAATCCTGTATAATAATAATAATATATAAATCCTGTATAATAATAATAATAATATAAATCCTGTATAATAATAATAATATATATAAATCCTGTATAATAATAATAATATAAATCCTGTATAATAATAATAATATAAATCCTGTATAATAATAATAATATTTGAGAATTAGAGAGATAGATATGTAATATATGATATTAGAGAGATAGATACTGTAGATAGAGTGAAGGAAATGCGTATTTGATCCCCTGCTGATTTTGAATGTTTGCCCACTCACAAGGAAATGATCGGTCTAAAAATCGAATGTTCGGTGTATTGTAACACTGAGAGACAGAATGGAAACAAAAAATTCTAAAGAAATGCATGTCTAACAAATGATGCACTGATTTGCATGTTCATGAGGGAAATAAGTATTTGATCCCCTATCATTCAGCAAGATTTCTGGCTATCAGGTGTCTTTCATACAGGTAACAAGCTGAGATTAGAAGCAGTCTCTTAAAGGGAGTGCTGCTAATCTCATTTTGTTACCTGTATAAAAGACACCTGTCCACAGGACAATCAAACCATCAGATTCCAAACTCTCCACCATGGCAAAGACGAAAAAGCTGTCCAAGGATGTCAGGGACAAGATTGTAGACCTACACAAGGCTGGACTGGGCTACCAAACTATCGCCAAGCAGCTTGGTGAGAAGGTGACAACAGTTGGTGCAATCATTCGCAAGTGGAAGAAACACAAAACAAGTGTCAGTCTCCCTAGGTCTGGTGCACCATGCAAGATCTCACCTCGTGGAGTGTCAATGATCATGAGAACAGTAAGGAATCATCCCAGAACTACACGTGAGGATCTTGTCAATGATCTCCAGGCAGCTGGGACCACAGTCACCAAGAAAACAAATGGTAACACACTACGCCGACAAGGACTGAAATCCTGCAGTGCCCGCAAGTTCCCTCTGCTCAAGAAAACACATGTCCAGGCCCGTCTGAAGGTTGCCACTCAACATCTGAATGATGCAGAAGAGGACTGGTGGGAAGTGTTGTGGTCAGATGAGACCAAAATCCAGCTCTTTGACATCAACTCAACTCGCCGTGTTTGGAGGAGGAGGAATGCTGCCTATGACCCCAAGAACACCAGCCTGTCCCCTGGATCCTGTCCCCTCACGACTGTTGCAGCCTCCTTCCTGCTCTATCCTAAACTCTCTAACCCACATCTTCAACCTCTCACTCTCTATGGGCACCTTTCCCTCCCCGCTCAAACATGCACTGGTTACCCCCATTCTCAAAAAACCCTCGCTGGACACCACCTGTTTGAATAACTTAAGACCCATCTTCCTGCTCCCGTTTGCCTCTAAGCTTCTCGAGCACCTTGTTCACAACCGTATGAACTGCTACCTCACTGACAACAACCTTCTTGAATCCCAACAGTCTGGCTTCCGCCCACAACATTCCAAAGTAACTGCCCTACTAAAACTCACTAACGACCTACTAACTGCTAAAACCAACGGCCATTACTCCATACTCATACTCCTTGACCTTTCCACTGCCTTTGACACAGTCGACCACCCACTCCTCCTCAGTAAACTCCACTCCATCGGCCTCTGTGACTCTGCTCTCTCCTGGTTCTCCTCTTACCTTTCTCAGCACACTTTCAGTGTCACATACAACTCCTCCTGCTCCGCTCCTCTTCCTCTTTCTGTTGGGGTAGCCCAAGGTTCTGTCCTCTCCTTTTCTCTCTCTACACCTCCTCTCTGGGCCAACTGATAACCTCCCATGGCTTCCAATACCACCTCTATGCTGGTGACACCCAGATCTATCTCTCCACTCCCCAGCTCACCCCCTCAATCTCCTCCCGTATCACAAATCTACTGAGCGACATATCAGCATGGATGTCACATCATTACCTTAACCTCCCTAGCGGTCTGATTACATCAGTATTTCTGTGCTCAAAGCGGTAAATTTTTTTGCATGGAAATATGTTTTTTTTTTATTGTAGGCCTGTAATTCTTAGGAGTAACTCACTGAAATCTGTCCGAACAAGAGTCTAGTAAACATCCTGGGGATGATAAAATTTGAAACACGAAATCATAAATTATAATATAATAAATATTCTTATTAAATAATAATAATATAATTATAATAAATTTAATTCAATAATATAATCAAACCAAAAACACTGAAATGTGAAATATAGCGCCAAGTTCGCACATCACTGAGCTCAGTTGCAGAATCGTTTTCAGTGTCTGATGAGGAATTTCCCCCACGAATCATTATCACTCAATTCTGCAAGTGGTTCTGATTTACTATCGCTGTTCTCTAGCCGGTCTAAAACCGCTTTTGACCTAAAGGGACGCTTTTTGGACGCCATGGACGTTTCTCAGTTTCCAGGCAGAAAGAACAGTAAAAATGCAGGCAGGGCGCCGGGCAAAGCACTCGGGACAAAATGTATGTGAAATGGTTTGATACAGGAATGTTATACTATGTGATTTTAGTGTATTTAGTGAATGTCACTTTTTTCACATTTTTGAACTTCCCGCCAGTTCTGTCCCCCGTACGTCCCGACGCTCGCAGGGAACGGAACCCAGAAGACAGATGCCGGCATCGGCCGGAGGACATGGCCGGGGACACTGCAGGAGGGACATCGCGGGAGCGCAGGACAAGGTAAGTGAAACAGGGATCCCGGAGCAACGCTGCAGGGTAATCCCGAGTGTAGCTCGAGGTTACAACTTTTGGTACTGAAACTTTACCCCGAGCTACACTCGGGAATACTGCCAGGGGGGTTAAACTCAATCTTTCCAAAACCGGGCTTGTAATATTTCCTCCTCCCCGATCCCCCACTCACGACTTTACAATTAAGATCAACAGCACAACCATTGGTCCTTCCCCTCATGTCAGGGTGCTAGGCATAATCCTAGACTTTGACCTCTCCTTTGGGCCCCATATCCAATCACTGGCTAAATCTTGCTGCCTCAACCTCCGGAACATTTCCAAAGTCCGCCCCTTGCTGACCAAATGACACCACAAAACAACTTATCCATTCCTTGGTTTTATCCCGCCTTGACTACTGCAACTCCCTCCTCACTGGTCTTCCGTTACACAGGCTATCCCCATCGCCAACCTCATCCGCCCACTCTGCTCCTCCCAAG